AAATTAGTTTATTTAACAAATACAGCATAATATATAGATAAATTTTAACTTGAACTTAAATACTTCAATACATATTTTTTAAATTTTAAATGAACGATATAAAACTATTAACACTATAGTATACAAAAAACGATTCTGAGCGAAGACTATCCGGCAGCCTATATACCTACTACCTATGTATATTTGATAATACTTATCATTTTAATTAAAGTAATTTATTTTACTATCAAGTACCATTGATTAATTAATATACTGTAGTTTAATTAATAAATGCAAGTACCTATTAGAGGTATTATTAAATTAATTTTTGCCAAAAAATTGTATTCACATTTATAGAAAAAATCGAAAACTTCAAATGTCAATGAAAACGACTCAAAACATTTTTATAATATCTACGATCATTACTTTTTGAATAACAACAATACAAGAAAATCATATGAGAATTTGTTAATTTACGAGGGAATACACAATATCTAACTTAAAACGCTACTAAAAAATTAATTTGACCTAACGGTAAACTTTTTTTTGWTATAAAATATAAGAAAACATAAGAAGCATAATTGTAATCAATTTTCAAAGCTTAAAAATAAATAGAATTTTTTTTATGAATTTATAACTCGAAATGATTTGTCAATTTTCACGATTCTGATAAATGTTGTCAAAATTTTAATCTTAGACGTTCATAAAAATTGATTGAGGATTTACGCTCAATTTTTATCAAGAAATTCCACTAACAACAACTTATAAAGAATATTGTAGTAATAGATTTTCAAGTTTTTTGACCGAGTAAAACATTTTTGTTAAGCAATAGTTTTAAAAAAAATAATAAAACTTGAAATTCGTATCGATAGCTAGCTCAAAAACAAATATTCCGAAAATTATATGGTTCATAAACATTTTGAGAATTATAATATCATGTAAYTATTTAACTTACTTAATACTTAACTACCCAACTTATTAAAAATATGAAATTTTCATTTAAACTCTAAATAAAAAATGATTCATARAAAAAATAATAATATTATTAAACCAACACATTAAAATCTGAAAAAATTCCATAGCACTTAAAAGTAAAGTATAAAATCCAGCCGTAATAGACACGGTTAGTGTGAACTCAATAAGCATTCAAGTATAATAAATTGCCAGCAAACAAGGCGCTAAGAGTTTAATAAATGATAACGTTTCAGGAGATGATAAAACCAGAACACAACTTGGTGATACTCATGAAAAATGTCTCACTCCATCTTGGCAAAAGCTAGTTTTTTTATTCTAAATTTAGTAACAATGATAAATTGCTTTCAAAAAAAAAAAACAATTATGATCTTATTCAACCAGTATTGATTGATCGTTTTTGTACATTATAAGTGGCAAGCACTCATAAAAATTTAAAAATATATATATGTAAAAAATATGTCGATGAAAAACTAAAAAATKATATAGTTATCAAACACATCAAATTCCCATAAATCGTATTCGAGTTTGCAAGATTTATTTTTTTTCTTTATTATAGTTTTCTTGTATAAATCAACTAAACTTTAAATGTTTTACCTATTTTTTCGTAACTGGAATACCTACAATCATCACCACCAACAATTTGGTTATTAGCACTCAAAATTCTACAATAAACGCGTATTAGTTATTATGTAAAAAGTAACTCTATGAGTTGAATGAGTACCTATATCTTCTTACTGACAAAATAATCAAAGAACGAAAAGTGATAACAACAATTGTCGTGAAGGAACGGGAAAATAATTAACATGCATTATACTAGTCAACAATTTTTATCACTTAGTCCATTCGAAAATTTTTTTTAGATACCGTCAGGCATCAGTGAATTAATCTGATTATTTTATGACTTATCAAAGCAATATTGTTTTTCTAGGTATCGAAATGTATTAATATTAATATATTCAATAATGCTAGTTGCTACACAATTATTTTACCAAAGTTTACTTAGGTTCTACAAACATATTACATATTATAGGTACATAGACAATGTACACAAAATAATATACATAATAACCTTCATTATACGTACAATAAATAAATTAGTTATATTTAACACATGATATAATATAATTATAGACAAATAAAATATTTTGGAAATTATTATATTAATATTATCATGATAAATAAATCCAAAATCAAAATAATTTTAATTCATTCAAATGTTTTAAACATCTAATAATTTTCTAAATGCCATTTTATATTAAGTACCTATATATATTATATAGATCTACTGATAATATCATAAAATTCGTGTTTGTAGGTGTTTTACTAAAAATCGCCATACACCGCATTTAGCTATGATTTTACCAAGGTTTTACTTGGATTTTACGAACTTATATAGGTGTCAGTGTGTCACCTATTATATTATGTAAATATAATACATTTTAAATAACAGCAGTAGAGTTATGAATAACTGCAGTCTATTACTATACCACAAACTTGTAAATACATAAATGAATAATATAGGTGAATGATGCGCGCACGTTTTACCTTGAAGTGTTGCTGCACTTTAAAGCATACGAAATCCATAAAAAACGGGAGACGTATTTTTTCGTAAACATCGAGTTAATTATTTTATTACATAACCATTTATTTTAAAACAAGCCCTTACTATGATTATAAAACCAATGGCATATCGCATATGTACTTAAGATACAAATTCATTTTTTCGAAATATCATTGCGTAATATATTAATATTATAGTTATACATTAAAAATCACCAAACGCTTTTGAGGACGGTAAAAACGGATTTATTAAAAACTGTTGCAGAGAATCAGACAGAAATAAATAAAACAATTCCCAGGTATATTGGATTTATCACGATCATGCGAGCATAGAGTAGTTAAAACTTGGAACCTTATTGTATTTCTTCGATGGATGCATATTTGCGCGTGCATCCAGAAAGTTATCACCGATATACCATCATAAAGACATAAAATATATTATTATTAAAAGACGGTACAGTTTCTATACTTCATAATTTAAATGATAAACATGATAATATGAATCAAAATATATATAGGTACAAAACGCCACTATACTGAAATACACAAATATAAAGTATTTTTTTTTACATTTTTTTTTTACATTGTAATATAGGTGATAAATTAAGTCATATGAAAAAATTCCCACACATTAAACTCAAACGTAAAACTGTCGACTCTATACCTACTTCACTATACCTAAGATCACTTTTAAAATCCTATCCAATAAACTTATTATTTACCTACAAGTCAATAATTCGATCCGTTCGGACATAACTACCATATTCAGTTATTGGGCCCTGCAAAACCATGCAATACCAAAACGCTTCAGGCTAAAAATGTTCAATCTATTTGCCTACAAAAAATAATGTCTTCTCCTTGGTACTTCATAAACAATAACCTTTACAATAACTTAAAAATTCCTACACTTAATCAATTATCAAAATTATATTACTTTAAATTCCACACTAAATTAACTGGTTAAACATTAATCAAACAACTATCCTCTATCTCAATTCCTAGTAATGTACAAATGAGACTAAAAAAACAGTCTCTATCAAAAATAAAATAAAATACACAATATACAATAATACCTAAAATATACCTAKTCGGATGGCACTGCTGATACATGATAGTCTACTGTCACTAATCATTAACTATAAAATTTGCTTATGGTACAAATTAACTGTATAGATTGTAAACAATTTAAATTAAATTAAAAAAATTWGAAAAATATAATGTTAAGTACTACTTATTACTTGAAATATCTTTGTGGTGGTAATGCATAAGATATTTTTTATTAATACAAAATAAACTAAGTATCTAATTAATTTATAAACAATCAACACAATAATATATAAAATTGAAAAATTATTATATAAAGTTATATATTTTTACAGGAATATACAAAATAACCCAAGAGGATTTTCAACTAGAGCAGATGATGAGGATGAACAGTTCTTCCATCGGTTCTGTTGGGACCAAAAGCCTAACCAAGAACTAATACCTAGGGTGAGATTGAAGACACCGTATAGAACACCACCACTTCTTACTATAAGGTAACACAGTTTATTATTAGTATAGGAGAACAATTAGTTAAATTATTATTAATAGATCTTTTTGTTTTTTGGTTTAGGCATTGATTATATAATATTATTATATAATCAATGATTTAGGGGAAAATGAATGCAAATCTTCATGGTCAAATTTTTAAATAAAATTGAATGAAATTAAATAATACATTTAAATGATACAAAAATATATGTTGAAAAAATAGAAAATAAGTTTTGTTTGCATTGATTAATAAATATGTATATTTTAGCCGTATGCTGAAAGAGTTGGAAAACGAAACAAAGAAGAAAAAAATGGAAGTAGTTCCAAGGTGTAGAGCTAGATCAGCATCAACATCACGGCCAAAGCTCAGACAATATATACCAAATGAGGTAATCAWAAATTATTAATAGATTAAATTAATGTAAAAGTTATAGTTTCACTTGCATAAATAATTATGCACTGTTTAATTGTGCTCCATATTCAACAATGCAGATAATTAATAATTAATTATATTTATTGTTATATTTGTATTTAAAATATATTACTATGACTTTGATTTATCTTACATAAACGTCAAATATAACCCTTTCTATCAGTCGGTATTTTAGATTAGATTTTTGACACCATAATAAATGTATTTAATTTAAAGGACATTTTTTTAAATGTATTCACACATCTACCAAAAAACATTAATAACATGAAAATAATATCCATAAGAGGCCATAAGACACTGATTATATAATATTATGCAAACTTTTTCACCATAAATATCATAATGTTCTGTTCCTCGAGTTACATTTAGATTTATAATATATACCATAAAAAGAATAAGTAAGTTATTCTTGTTTAGAAACTTAAGAATTTAAATGCAATATAAAGCAATTTACATAACTTTTCTTATTGAAATTCAAATGACCAATGGATCATTATGAAAATGGTTTATTATTAAAGATRAATTAATATAAAAATTATAAACATATCATACAAGTTTTAAAATTTTAAAATAAAGTTATTTTATGTGTTACATGAATATTTTAAAATTATATTGTTAAAAAACACTAGTTAATTTTCAAAACATTTGTTACAGAATGCTCCATTGGCAAAACGTTTCAGCCGTGTCGGTCAAGGTAATCGATGTACAAGCCGATATGAAATTTATAACTCAACTACTAGACCATTTGGGAAAAGTTACCGAGAGATGATAACTTCATCTGATGTTAAAATAAATCAAGAATCGACTGATACCAACGAAAGTAGTACAGAGTCAACTCAAAGTGCATATGTAACTTGTAGTTCAGAAGTTGAAACATTAAATATAACTGGATTTCAATGTGTAGATGAGAATGCTACTAAGCATCAAGTCACTTTACAAACTACAATAGGTGAAGATATAACAGAAGCAAGAAATTATAATGTTAAGTCTAATGAAAATGCTAAGGTAATTGAAGAAAAATTCAAATCAACTGAAATAGTGAAAAAAGCAGACGAAAAACGTTTAATGTACAAAATGCCAACCACATCTAATTGGAAAACTTATCAAGAGGAGCAGCTGACTTATGAACCAGAAAATCAACAAATCCACAAGGAAGTGGTTACCAGGTCTAGAAGTTTATATAATCTGCAAGATGAACCTGTTGAGATATTATTAAACAAGCCACCAACATTAATAAAAGCAACATCAGAAAACCATTTGTTTAAAAATAACATAAAACAAAAACCAGTAATAATACAAACAACCCCCTCCAAAAAATATAGCAGTACTGTMAATTTAACTCTTGAAAAAGATTCCACAAAATCCAACAAAAACATAAAATATAAATCTCAATCTGATTTATGTGCAGATATTGAAGAACCGAAAAAACTTGAAAGACCTAAATCAATGGACTTCCTTATCCATAAAGAAAATAAATCACAYGCAGATACATTGAAAAAACATTTTTATTATCACCCACTTAAGCCAAATAAAAAACTCAATGATAATGAACTACCAGATCCAGATAAAGTACTAAGTACAAGACAATTATTTCAAAAAGAATTGAAAATACCATTACCGCCGAGCATGAATAATCAAAATCCAAAAACAGGACCAAGGCCAACGCAAGAAATACGAGTTATTCCAGAAACATATAAACCAAAACTTAAAAAATGTGTGTCTGTTGATATGGGGACAAGTATACATAATAGATGGACAGATAGTGGAAGCATATCGTCAGGAGTTGGGAGTGAAGCGAGCTTTGACACAGAATCATCTGAGACAAATCATCGAGCAGACGGGTACAGTAGTGACGACGAAGATTACATAACAGACAAAACAACCGTAGAAATAGTTGGAAGACCAGTATCAGCTGAAATACTTAACAAAATCAGAAAATTTGGTACAAGCGTAACTTATTATGGTGGTAAGGTAATATCCAGCACCAGAGGAGTTGTATGTAGTCCTATGACAATGACCATTATGGATGAAATAAGACATCAAAAAGAAGAAAATGTAAAGCTTAGACTAGTAAAAAGTAATAGTTGTGGAAGTAGAATTGAATTGATAGAAGAGTCCAAACGAGGTGAAAAACAAGTAGAAGCAATACAAGAAGAAGAAGAAGAAGAAGAAGATGAAGAACAACGAGGAACATCAAGTCCACAAATAACAGATGACAATTTATCAAAGCTTTCAAGTGCATCTTCTGACGATATGTCATGGAAAGCTTTAGTAGTAATTCGAAAGAAAATGAGTACCATACCAGTATTTGACATGGAATTTGAAGAGTTTGAAGTATTAGATGACAAAAATAACTAAAACTTTAATGATCGATTTCCTCAAAAAATTCTTTGAATTTTATTATTATCATTTGAATATAATACACTTTATAATTATAGCTATAATATTAATGATCAGATATTACTTGTATAAAAACCGTTCTATTTTGATCAAATTGCCAAAATTATTGAAATTATWAAAAAAAAATTAATATCAATCAATATGGCACGCTTAGCTAGATAAATGATTAAGATTAAATAAAGTACATAATACTATGTTATTATGTTTCATAATTATTGCTTATCTAAATAATATACTACATATATATAGCTAATTGATACATTTTTAATACTTGTAAATACAAAAAAAATGTTAAAGGTACCTGCTTATATGTTATTTATCCATACAAATGTGTCTTGAAATAAAAATTTAAAAAACAAATGATTTCAACATTTTGATTGTAAATAACACGTTCAATGTTTAAATACAATCTTTTGTGCTAGTTGTATAATGTTTTATCTTAATATTAGTATTTAAAGTTTAGATAAAGCTTTAAATAAAGCATTTAAACGGGAATTCTTATGGAAGATAGGTTTTTAGCTAAATATATATATTCTTATTTTTATGTTATTAACAAACTTACAAAATAACCTTAGAAACCTGACATGTCTACGAAATGTCAATAATTATTGTTTATGTTCATGGGCCATTTTTCAAAATATTTTAAGCTTATAGAGCTGAAATTATTATTTTTTTAGTKTTTTTCTATAATTGTCAACAACATTTTTTGTTCTGTCAAAAATCTTGAAAATTAAAATGAAAGGATCCTTACAATTTGTTATTATAGCTAATTAAAAAGTTAAATATACATAATAGGTACAATATATATATATATATATAATATATCAGGGATGTACAACATGGATACGTCGAAGAGCCACAAAAGTAAATACAATAATATCAAGAGCCAAAATGTTTATAAATACATTTTATAATTTTTACAATTTCATCTATTTTATTTTTGGTAAGTAAAAATTAATTTTTTTTTTAAAAAACACTTTGAMTGCTATGACGAGAACCACACGTTGGCCACCCCTGCTTATTGTGCCTACCTATAAATTTATAGGTAATATTGTGCTTAGCTATAATTTATAGGTTTTATTTATATTAWTTATATTTGAAGTTCAAACTTTGACAAAATGCAAAAAGCTAAAATGGTAAATAAGATYAATAATAAAACCCAGTTGATTTTTATTTAACCAGCATTATAAAAAGTTAAATATTTTTTAATGATTGGAAAATAAAAATATATTTATTTTTTGTTATACAAGATTATTAAAATAATTCTGGAGAAAAATAAGTATTTCTAAAAATATATTATGTTTTATGTTTAAAATTATACACATATATACTTTCTAAGTCTAGGTTACCACCTAAATATATAATATTTTTTTTTTTATTTAAAAATAATAATTAGTAATTATATATCAAATAATTGTACATCATAGTTACACACATCTTWATTAATTACTAAACAATATTATTTTAGATTTCAATTTTATCTTTAAATTTTAATCATTCTTTTTAGATAAAGCTTTTCATTTATAATAATATGTAGGTAATAAACAAGATCCTTATATTTTACTTTTTTCAGAGGCATAAATTACTTCGAAATATGGAGGGCGCGAAACAAAAGTATTCATACCCACCTAATACTAACATAACATTTTTGTTGCACTCACATAATATCCATGTATACCTACAGTGGCGTCTAACCCTATTACTAGGTGTAGCGTTTGCTACATCTTGAAAATATAGGGTGGGCGAGTATAATGACATAACATAATTAACTTGAAATATGTTTTTTAAAGAATAACCATTACCTAATCTAAAATTAATTTTCAAAAAAGGCGTAATAGTAAATTAAAGTATTAAACTGACACTTCATTTTTCTGTTAAATTTATTTTTCTATTTATTGCTATATTATCRTTTAAATATCCTCAAGTTGAAGGTTGAAGCAATTTTTCACTATTAATTATGTATGGATACACAAAAAAAAACTTCATTGTAAATTCAACACATTCATTGCTTCGTTCAGAATCTTAAATATCTAAAGCTTTCYTATTCCTACTCAATCGAATAAAAAAATTAACTTTATGATAGAAAGAAGAACATTACCTACCTAATAACATATTAATACAATCACTGATCAACATAAATTGAAATAGTATTCTAAAAAAATGTAATTGTTATTGCTGAATATAATTCCAAAAAGATAATAGTTAATAATTTTTATTTACACTTAAATAGAAATTAAAGCTTTGTAAAATTAATTAAATATATAATACCTAACTAACTATTTAAGATGTAATATGATAATAATTTATAATACTATTCATACCTAATTGCCAATACTTATAATAAAATAATAATCTACCTACTGTTCAACCAGGTAGGTAGGTAGGTATATCAAAAGTTTTTTTCTACTGCTATACTTAAAAAGTAACAAATAACAATGAACTAAGTATTAAACAATATATAAATGAATATAAATGTATTTAACATCTAATTAGTTTTGAATTAGTTTTAAAAGAATTCTCAAGTTTAGCATTTTTTTTATTTAATTAACTTTTAGGTAAAACCTTACTTAACTAAAAACAAAACACGATAGGTAGATAAGTATATTTTATTAGCATCAACTATTCAAATATAAAGAATAATAATATAAATGTTTTTATGTGATAAAATGAACATAAATGTTAATAAAAAGGATATGTGGGTTATAAGTAGAGTTATATAATAGGATGTTGATGACTTGCATTTTTTTTTCCTTTTATTCTGTACAATGCTATCCTAGCTAAAAAAAATTTTCATGCTCCCTTGATGCAGAATATTCTATTTTATTTTGCATTTTTTTTGCATTTTTTGCATTTTTAGCTATAAATGTATTTTTTTTGTTTTTTAACATCATTTTTAAAAATTTTTAAGTCATTTTTTCATCTTTTAGGGCATTTTTTTTACTTTTTATACAATGTGGGGCATTTTTCACAAATTATAGATTTTATAGCAAATGTTACACTCAAGTTTGGAAACAAATTTAATTTATTTAAAATCTAACTTTGGATTTGRACTATTAGTAAAAAATAATTTTAATATTAATTAAATATAAATTTTAAATTTATTTATACCCATATCTCTAATGAAAATTATTATTTATAAAAAAGTTTTTTCACTTACTTAATTAGTATTTCAGATAATTTTTAAGGTCATTTTTTGAAGTTTTCAGGGCATTTTTGCACTTTTTTTAGGGCTTTTTTGCATTTTTTTTAGGACATTTGTGTGTGTGTGTGTTTAGGTCATCAACATCCTAACTCTAGTTATAAGAGAACATTATACCATTATAACATTATACCATTCATTTAATTCATAAAAAAACATAATCTCCTCGAAAGAAATGTTTGTTTACAGAAATGGTATTATTATAATAATATGTTTCCTTTAAAAATATATAAAAAAAAGTTCTATGTGATGGTAAAATTCTAAATTCTACCTAGGGTAGTTGGGTGCATTGTACACCATATAATATTATTTAAGTACCTATACTATGTTATAGTATATATATGGCATATGCACAGGCCAGTTTATGGGTCAGAAGTGTTCTTATTTTTTTATGGTCAATTTATAAAAAAAAATACAAAATATGGTGACCAACCTTATACATATCTAGGTTTAATACCTCTTTATAATAAATAATTGTTAGTGTTTATTTTACCTGACTTATCATATGAAGGTTTTAATATTTGTTTTCCTTCATTTTCATCAACCAAAAACGTAGTAGAAATTGAGCTAGACCATCGTTTGCAATGATGACGACGGCATCGCTGCACAACCTGAAAAAATGCAATAAATTAAAATGCTACTAATTAACCGCACCTAACGTATTATCCTATATAAATATATAAGAAAATAAAATATAATCCATAAAAAGTATATAATATATTAATATGTACTAAATACAATTTTCCTGTGTTTATGAGACTGAGTGTACATATATTTTAAAAACAAACAAATAATCAACATCTTAAGTCATAATACATTTGTATTAATGTCAATAATATATAAATAAAAAACAAAATCATGGCATTTCGACACATGACCTATTTATAGGTAGGTATGAGAAATGTTCAATTTGTCTAAGTTTCTTTTAAAATATTGTCGATAAATAATTTTTCAGACATACATACAACTTCTCAATACCTCAATACTTAATTTATCAAGAAAAACCTATATATAAAACATACATAAGTATCAATATCAAAGTTTATACCCAAGTTATTAGCTATAACGCCAAATCCCTATAGGCGTAGAATAGAAGAAGTCTAAAGGGATTATAATCTATCCAGAATTATGTTAGGCCTCCCAAACTTCTGTCCATGTATGAGAACTGAAACATTTTTTATTTTAAAATAAAGGCTATACCCCCCCCCCCATATGTGGTTTAACTCTTGATATTAAGGGGATAAGTGGCAAACAGTTTTTAAGGAGTTCGAAATAGTCAATAGACAATTTTCAAATTACATTCATGCGGGTTCTRTAAATGTGTACGTAGTAAGTGTAGTGTATAAGTGAACATTAGTGTGTGTAACTTTATATAAAAGAAATAGTGAAGCGCTCCCGCACACGCATGTACAACTGTACAAGTCACAAACACAAACCTCGGCGTTGCGCGCATAAATGACAAACAATTTAGTAATATGCTCATTTATAATATTTACTTGTTATCCATCCTACCCATCATCGGCCTAATATCGATAATATTTCTAAAAACTGATCTGAACTCGATATAATGTCTGCTTGAGATCGATCAATCCACATTTTAAGAATTCTGATTTAAATTCTAAGTAATCAACGTTTGAACATTTAAAGATATTCAAACTAAATTTATAGCTGCTGGGGAGGTAAAATAGAGTAAAATAAACTGACTTATCTTAAATAGACATAATAACGAATTCAAATAAGTTTTTAAAAATATTATCGCAAAACTATGTCGATCAGTATGATGAAAAATAGATTAGTATTTTTCGATTAAAATAATTATCCACCACCGATACTCTTAATATTAATAAACTAAGATAGGGCCTAGCGTTTGAAATATAACATCAAGCTTTTGGATACTTGAATCCATAAATTGCAGAATTGCATAAATACATAGGTATTCATTTTTAATTAGAACAACATTTTTAATTAAAAATTACTATCGACTAGAAAGTGACAAATCTATAATTATAGAATAGATATGACATTATTTGGAATTTGGATTAACTTTAAAAGATAAAGTGGAAATTGATTTTTAACTTTCGTAAGTAATTAATCCATGACTTTTATTTCAATCCTTGAAATTTAAAAAAAATATCTTTATACATATATATTATATATGGATTTTTWAAATTATTGCACCGATGTATTAATATCCTTTTCATACTAAAATTTTATTAATTTAATAAAATTATTAATAGATATAACGATAACCGATTGAATAAAAATAAACAATAATAAATGCAAACTATGTTAGGTAGTTACGTCCGTACGCAGTTTGCATGCACGTTGGTTCATAAATATTAAAACTAAAGGTACCTAGATATGAATGATACGACGATGGAATTGTTTTTAATAAATTATATAATATTGTACTTTATAAAATGTAAATGAGTACATTATGTGTTATAACTTATAACARGTACCTACCTAACAACTTTATGATTGTTTAGTCTCCATAGATTTGTATGTTACTATATGATAGAATCATTAGAATCTATATAAAAAGTAAAAGTGTTAAGATATAATTTAAAATAAAGTAGATTTCAAACTTACTTATGCGTTTTGTATAATTATTGAGTTACCTATTTACACATTACACATTTTTTGGAAAATCACCAAAAACTGAACATCAAATGTAATGCCAGTATAAAAATTCGACGCYAAAGATAATTCTATAAACACGTACTAGTTTTTAATGTAAAATTGTTATTATTAAAGAACAATAAGTCCTATACTTAAACAGTAAACAATATTTAAAGCTAAAAATACAATTTGTGATGTTTTAAAGTTTCTACGCCTTGATTTAATGTAATAATTATTACATATAATATATGTACCTATACATAACACAAGAACAATTTTTAAATTGAAATTGTTTAATTGTTTACTGCAGTTACCTCTCACCTATAGTAAAATTGAATGCTGCCATAATATTTCGTATTAAGCTTAATCCAGAATGATCATTAATAAACATATATATATAGTTTCATTTTAAATAAATAAAATTATATGATTTAAATGGATATAAAAATTAAAATATATTGTAATGATCCAACTTATTTTGTTTATTTGTATTTTGTAGAATAATTTTTTTTTAAATTAAAATGACAGTATATTAACAWTTGATTATATAAAGGTGTAGATATACTACGAGTAGATCGTAGATCCTGTACTTGGAAGGTGAATAAATTATTTTAGTTCAAAATAGATTATTGGCTAATATAAGAATTGTAGATATTAGGTTTATCGAATACGTCATATAACATGTTCTTAAGAAGATCTCAATAATGCACTCAATATATATTGTCTCAAATCACAATGCCAACATGGCAACATATAATATATTCTTATTCAATTTTCATAAGACTTATAGAACAAAATATAGTAAATTAATATATAGAATATAAAATGTTTTGGAATTTTAAATTGTTAGTTAATCMTATCAATTATTACCACATTATGGTTTGTGATAATATTTTATGGATCTCCACCATATTTTCTATCATTAAACTTAGCCCTATGCCTATGATCCTCAAGCCTCCAAATTTACATATATAATAAAATATATAGGTAAATATTGTATAATATATGACCTTATCAACAGATAATATTCATTATTGCTTACACTAAATCCACATTTAATTAGGATAGAATGTTGAATAAGTATAATTATTTCCAAGAAAATGTGTACATTTGAGGCTTGAGCAGTATGATATTATGACGCCTTCGAAATGCAAAATGTACATTTTGAATACATCATGTAGGTATCATACTACATTACTACCTATATCATACTAAACGGTGCAGACGCAGTTTGTGGAATGGAATAATGTACTAGGTACTTGACCTCGACGCATTACATTAATATGACATCACATCCAAATGTGGACATTGAAACCAGTTGTGGTTTTGTGTTTTTGTAATTTAGTATTTACTATTTACCTCAAACGTTCATATTCGAAGTAATTGTATTGCGATTTATTTACTGACCAATAATGCACACAGATTAGATACAATTCATTTTTAAACAATACTTCAATAATATATCTATATATTATATTTCACATTATAAAAATAAGAAAGTACGATTGAATGACACTAATGAATAATGAATAATGATACTATGATATTATAGAATATAATAATCGCGATGGACTAAAAATTATTACAATAAATAATAATTATACGGTCAATGTTAATAATTATGATTATAGCATACATTTTTATCAATATTAAAAAATATTATAATGTAATGTTGTTTATTTTATTATCAAATTGATTTTTTCTAGGTGATCGTGATTCACCGCGCTATTATTGAAATCAAATGAAATACGTCTTAATCGTTCAAAAAGTAATTTTAATAAAATTACACCTTCATTTATGTTAAAATGTTTTTATGCTCTATACCCAACAATTTTCTCCTGAATTATTTTATAATAGCTCGTTCTTTTTTGGATAAGGTCGATATTATTAATTCCGTCGGTGAATTTAACGCGGGAAAGTTCCTTATMCAATACAATTATTTACTCTAGATTCTAGAGAATTTAAAATTATAATTATTTCGGTTTAAAATGTAAAGATGCAGAGATATTATTATCTCTGAAGAAGAAAATATTTACCATCAAAAAGACAAAAACTAAAATTCTATAACTGAAAAATTGGAATCTCGTCAAAAACGAAATACCATCTTTAACTCAGGTCTTGGCATCAGCATATAACTCTTAAAATACATTTCTTTAGATATTTTTATTGTAAATTGTATATTACAATATATACCTAATCCATATTCTTAATGAATAGTAATAAAATAGTTTATTATAGTCATTTTCATTACAGATTTAAAATGTTATAAATAACAATAAAAAGGATGTATCTGAACGAAAACTGGCCTATTTTGATAATATTGATACATAATAAATTAATAAGAGTTCTGTACATTCCACACAAACATTAGGTAAGCAAACAATATTTTGCTACAAATATTTAACATTGGTATTTAAAAAAAAAATGTTTAGGAAATTATTTTTAAGTAGGTACTTATAAGTTATAACTTATATTTCAAAAAATTATTTTATACTTACTAAATAATTTAAAGTAGGTAACTAAAATGAATACTTTAACTTTTATGCTAACTTTTTTGGGTAGGTATAGATAATAATACAAGAGTGTGTACTAATTTATATTATTAAAATTACAGGGCAAAAGAAAATGTATGATTTTATATAACGGTATAGATGGACATAACTACATAAAACATAACGAAGTTAGATGTATTTACATTTACAATCTTGACATCAAGCAGTCGTGGCCGAGCGGTTAAGGCGTCTGACTAGAAATCAGATTCCCTCTGGGAGCGTAGGTTCGAATCCTACCGACTGCGAATAAATTTTAATATATTCCCTTAATAAATCATAGGAGGAAAAATTTTAATTTTATAATTTAAAATTAATCATCATTTACAAATCATCAAGGTTATTTTTTTCAAATAAAACTAATTGAATATAATTTTGGAAATTTTATATCGTGAATCATGATATGAATAAAAATATGAAGAATCGTAAGTTCCTTCACG